ACGCTTGAGCTGCTCCGGCCAACCAGATTTTGCCACGTGTCTTTCTTGGATTGCAATCTAGCCCAGGCGTCCAACTTCAAGCGTCCAACTTGGCCAAGCGTCCAAGTTGGACGCCTGGAGGCCTTGGTCCGTTGGGCTTCGCGGCTGTTTCGTGATTTTGGCCCAATTTCGCTCCGTTTTGGCCCCAAACACTGTTTTTGACCTCCCGAAAGCTCGTTCAAGCCCGAATCTTGATCCTTTGATGATTTATTCCCTTTTTCTCAAGTATTTGAACATAAAATGGATGATTTATGATAATTTAATGTGGAATCCCATTTTATGACTCTTAGAACGAAAATGAGAGTTTTATTCATTGAAATCACATTTTATAAGATGATTAAATACTATTTACGTGCAATAACGTTTAGAATATGATGTAAATGATAAGAACGAAATGGACTTATCAAATTACTCACACTTAAACGTTGCTTGCCCTCAAGCAACAAATTGAATAATTACAAGTATAAAGGCAAATTAATAATTGCAGAGGCAATGTTAAAGCTACATATTATGAAGGAAAGAAGGAATAAGATAGTCATCAACCTTTTTGTTAAGAATAAACGAACCTTTAGATTCTCACCCATATTGTTAGAAATGTAAAAGAATTTTACCAAACCAATATTTTTACACCAACCTAAACAACCAAGATTTTCCAAACTTTCTATGGGATAACTACATTTGTAAGAGTACTTTAAAGATCAAATAATTTTTTAATGGCTAAATTGGAAAACATGTTCTTGCAAAAGTAATTGTCAAAGTGTAAGGGTTTAATTTTCTTTGGCATAACTTTGTCATGTTGACACGAGAAAAATTTATAACCTCATCCCGTGACATAGAACCACGAGCTTTTTGGATATTCACTCTGGAAAGTCTCATCACACAACATAGAACCGCATGCTTTTTGACTCTAACACTCAAAAGGCCTCATCACGCAATATAGAACCACATGCTTTTTGGCATACTCACCACGTCTCATCAATTGACATAGAACCAATTGCTTTTTGGCTAAAATAAGAATCTCGGTCTCACCAAAGTATGTTTTGAAACGTCACCCCTTATACTTTGAAAAATAACTCTTAAGAAACAACAAATACTCAAAAAAGCATCAGCAAAAAGATTTTCAATAAAGCACTTAAAAAATTAATTGATCTAAAAAACTCTTAGACAATTGTGAATTTATCCCAAATCATTTCAGAAAACATTCCCAAAAAGGTTAGAGTAGAAATAGAAGTTTGATAAAAATTTTAAAAATTTCCAATTTATACGGGTAATAACTAGAGATTAATTAATCAAACAATTAAAATTGATGACTATTCTATAAAAATCTTTTCCTACAAATATATAGACAAAATAATTCCTAAAAAGATCATTTCAACAAAGAACTCTTGCCTCCTCACACTTAAACGGAACCACGGCCTCGTGGTTAATAGTATTTTGGAATTGGAGTTAATGGTTGAAATGCTCACATGCAATTACTAAGTTATCTCAATACTTACAAGATTCAG